AATGGCAAATTTTAATTGCATCTCTCTTAAACTGTAAAATTGTTGTAGCGTGAAATGATAAGCGCACGGCGAAGTAAAATAGAAATACTTTTATGATATTAAAACACAACGATGGGACACAAGCGCAAGGGGTCGACGACGTAAAAGAGTAACAAAAAATAAAAAAGGAAGAAACGAAAAAAAATATTAAAAATGGAAACCGTGTCCCGTTTCGCGCCGAAGTTTCTCGCGTGACAAAAAGAAATTACTTCCGTTCTCCTATGTAAACAGCTAATCTGAACTGTGAAGCGGCAATCTGGCTACCAACTTTTTCCACAAACGACCGGCTAATTGAGTTGTGCCCGTGTGCACGGGAGAAAAAGTTTATCGGTAGCAGGCCACGGTTGATCCAACGGAACAGTTTCAACGTGATTTACCCTGTGCCGGGTGTCAGTAAGTTTAAACCGCACTACCATAATGATGGGATCAATCTGAAACTATGTTCGCAAACATCGATCGGCTTTACGCCGAGTAATCAGTGTATTAAAACCTAGTCGTGTTTACTTTACTAATTTAATGTATATAATTGAACTTAGTTATAGAAACACAGTTAAACATTTTCTACTATCTCCTCAATAAAATAAAATATGTTACTAAGAAAAGATAGCGACTCGTAAAGTAATCATACCTACTAGCTGTAATCGAGAAGAATAAACTACAATAAAAAATATTTATATAGAATTTTACGCAATTTTCCTTTTCAAGCACTAAAATTTTTATCTAACAGTAACGCCTTATGTATAATTATTTCTACTTCGATTTACGTTATTTTTGCGTTTCCGATTCCGTTACAGATAGACTTCTATCAATTTGATCGTTCAAAATTGTACGTCGGACTGGCCTGATATTCTTGAGCTAGACTAAATAATTCTTCTCATTAGCAGCTCGTTGTACGGATAAAATCCTGGCCGACAGTGTGCTGAGAAAGGAGCTATAACCCATTCCAGTTACCTTAATCACGCTACACGTTTCATCAGGTCGGGAGATACTAGTCGCGATACGCTTGATCCCATCACTACGTACGTCGGCACGTGTTAAACTGCTCGCTGCTCGACATTTAACGTCGAGAGGACGTCACGCAAAGCTCCAGAAGCTCTGTTCGCTTTGCGTGGAAATTAACGCGTCACGACTTCATCGGGTTTGATAGGATGTACCTAAACCCTGCAGCGAACCCGTCGGCCGGAGTTAAAGCTCGTACGCGAACACTATTCCCGGTTAACGACGTGTCAGATCAAGCGCAAAACTCTGTTTTCGGGCCCCGTCACAGACTGCGTGCGCTGGATGCGATCCGTTCCCAACGAGACGCTAAACGTAAATCAATAAAACACGAGGACGAAACAAAAAGAGGCTGGTGTTCACCAAGTTGCCGAGGACGACCGTTTTCCCCGATGAAGTCGTAAAACTTTTAACAGAGCTTCGTCTTCAGGAATATCAAAAGTGGATCGATGGTTGAATAATACCCTAGGATCTTGAATAAAGATTTTAGTGTCCAATATACTATCTAAAAGTGCATCTGATATGTTGTAGCAGAGTAATACTTATTACACTAGTGTGGTAATTTTAAGAATATTCAGTGTTTGAGAAGGGAAAATTATTAGATAGAGTATTTAGATTGAAGAAATAAGGGTGTGATAGTTCTTTGATCAGATCTGGAATCGAATTACTACCTGTTTCATGGTTTATAGCTTTTTAATTACAGAAAGAAAATTAACGTAAGGCTATTAAAATTGTAATCAATGTACAGAGACTGTTATACAATTTAGAAGAATTTCTTCTGTTTCTAAATTGGAAGTGTAATAGTGACTATTAAATATTGACCAGTTCTAACTAAAATAGACTGTTTTATGAATGAAAGAATCATAATCGATCCAACTTTGATATTCCGAAGGTAATTGAGCTGCTTGGACTCGCTAGAAAAGCTCGTGGATCATTCTCCTTGCTCAAGATCGAAAATTCCCAAACCACTCTAAAATTTAGTCACCTGAAAATGCTATTCGTTTTCGCTCCAGTGTACATTTTTTTCGGACACCAGAATATGCTGCCTATTGCAAAGCGAAATTAGTGAAGCTGCAAAAATAATAACCATTATGACTTGTTCCACATATATAAGTAACACGCAGTTCATTCCGCTGATGGAACCAACACTGAACGTGTAGCTACCTTTCATTGAATCAAGGCAGGTTTCCTGTGGTTCATGTTAAAGAATCGGAACTGTAGCCGCAGCGTTAGGTCTTTCCGTACTGTTGGGAAAGAATAGAGGTGTCGTAAGTATAATCCGCAGCTCTGACTCGATGAGTCTCTCATCGGTGGGTGGTACAGTGGTGTACATTAAATAGTAAATGTTTTCTGACTATGGGAAAATCGAAACGAAACCGTGAAACTGCTCTCAAATGATTATCCTCGATAAACGTGACAATAAAGTATGTCAATAAAGTTAATGGAACTGTCGTTTCGAAATTCCCTCTTATAGCGAAGGTAGACGTGGCACGCCATCATGATTCTTTGAAGAGATTACTATAATCTTTCTAGTTTCATGTAATACACATCTACTTTTTCTAAAGGATAATTTGACAGATAATCTGGAATATTTGAAACATGTTTATATGGGAAATTGTAAACCAAGATATGTGTCCTGTCAACTAGTATCCAATAATTGACTTAAACCAATCGCCCCTTTCTCATTTACAGCATACCATGCATTAATATTTTAGAGGAAATACTACAGAAGAGTATGTAATGGGAAACAGCATGATGCGAGCAATTGAATATATGATCGTGCAAAGGATGTTGGAATGTTAATAAATAATGTATATAAATCATTTTAGATAGTTTGTTGCTACAGGTAATAATAGTGTTATAGTCGGAACTAGGATCACATTTTATCTGATTCGAATAATACTATCAGAATCAGAGTAACATGAACGTAACTATAATAAATAACTAAGACAATCAATATTGTAGTACCCTTGGTATGTTAGTATTAAAACTATTTCTCATACAGATTCAATGAAATCTGCAAAGACAGCTGCACCCTAGGTGTCATTACGTTTATCAATCATAAAGTGAGTGTTGATTATTTCATACTTATCAATGCAATTACTCTCAACACTGACTTTTATCTCCATAATAGTGATACTATTAACAGCATGCTCAGTTCTTGATACAGAGGATGAACATTCTTCCAATAATCAGGGCAATTTCAAAGACAAACTCAAATATTGTCAAACCAGGATCATTTCTGTGTACAAAATTTACACGAACTAAAACTATCATAAACAGACGGAAAGTATTTTTCTACACAATTTAACAGGTACTATTCCGACTCGACATTCATAGACATTCGGGACCATCACGAACCTTGGTATATAGACCAAATAAAACAGGCATCAAGGGCAAATTCTCAAAAATGTATCGAAATTGAAATTTTTTAAATATATATATTTACTCACTGCATTATCTGCGTTACGTTCTGTCTTTTAAGTTGCCTACGGGGATTATGAAATTTTTTGAGGGTGTACCGCTCTCTACCTTAGCGCGTGCCACACGTAAAACTAACAAAAATAAATACATAATTAAAATTTTCGATATTCAGCAAAGAGTTTAATAACATGAAAGGGAAGAAACCAAATTTTAGGATTAAATTTTTATGATTTAATACCTAATTTATTAAGTGTTTATAAATTACTGTAACCTGTGTGTATAAATGGGGGAAAAGAAAAATTAAATACTTGCATTGGAAGGGGATAATATGCTGGATCATGCTACGAAATCATTACAAAGGAAGATGATGACCTAGAATAATTCGGAATAGTGTTTTCCATAGAATAGAAAATTCCTTTGTACAAGTGTCATATATAGCTTTAGTGAAGCCAATGAAGTGTCGAATGCTTCATCTGATATAGTAATCCAGATATTAATCATGTCTTATTTTATTAAAGAAGCGACAATACATAAAAGCATGAGTTACAAGCTACTGTTTATTTTGAATGTTAAATAAGCTAGAAGCAAAAATGGAACTGGAACATGATGTAAACAGACTCATACCGAATCAAATGTTTATGTACTTTAACCTTTGGTTTTGTACTTAGCTGAAAATTGAAAACAGACTAATAATATACTATGTTCGCTAATTAATATTCTAGGTACAGTATCTTCAGTGATAAAAATGTTGTGATAATAAGATACTTGGGCTAACTATAGTAATTAATTGGAAAGCGTCAGAAATGAAGGGCAGGGTATCGGTCAGATTTCGGAAATATTAAAAACATGATGCAGGTAATAAAGACATTGTATGAGTGCACTCTAAGGGGGGCTCATAATTACCTCTATGCCACTAGCTAAAAAAATAATAAATGAATTTAGCAGGATGAATGGATGAATGATGATGAGCTAATAAAGTGCTATGTAAGACTACGAAGCAGAGTCGGAAGTGTTAGAAGCATTTCATCAAATGATCTCCATGGTCTCCCATACAATTGCTTCCATCTAAACGAAAAATTAAAGATTTTAATTTCTAAATTGTATGAATGAAAACAGTAATATGTCTCTTTAGAGTGTAGAGTTGCTAAACTTGGAGTGTAATAACATATGTCTGGATAAATATAATAAATAACCTGTAAAGATTTGTTCTGCTTTAAACATATGAAATAAAATATAATATATCGAGAATGTTTCAGGAACAGTATATCTGAAAGAAATAGTACAATAAATATGGTTATCTCTGATGTAATCGGAAAGTTATATCAATGATAACTGGGCGAAGCTTGATAACCTATTGCTAGATACTAATTAAACGAAAAAGAATTGATTTATCTTGAATGTTAATCTGTATACTACACGGTATACAAATTCACGAAACATAACCTTTTCATTTACGTTTCCGGTAATATAAATATCATTACTTATGTATAAAATATTATTAAATAAGTAACTCGTTTTACAAATGTAATATTTGTACTCACTCCTATCAATGTTGCGTTGCAGGTGAGCAGCCACACGATGTCTAGCATCATTGAATTCCAAATGAAGACCAAGTCGAAGCAATGTTGGATTCTGTTCTACCAACTGTGTAATTTCCATTTCAATTTTATTTCCCAACACTTGTGACCTCTAGACATTTAAAATACAGGAACATGAACGTTAAAGTAAATAATACATCTTCAGACATGAATAGTAATTTTATTTGTTTTACCTGATTGGAACATCGAAATTCTTCTATTGATTTTGTTTTAAGGAGTCCCTTAATGAGCCTCACTATCACAGACGGGCTTATAAAGTTTGTTTCCACGCTGAAAAAATAGAATTTTAATATGAAATAATTTGCTCTGTTTTTGTTGATAATAAAGCTTATAAACAGCATCATACTAACTTGAGTACTCTGAGTGTAGAATTTTTCTCTAAGGCTTCTGCCAACCTTTGTGCAGTCTTATCAGTGACTCCCACGTTTGTTAAACTTAAAGATTCGAGATGTGTATTCATCTCCAATCCTTCAAACAGTTGAATAAACTTTTCGTCGGATATATTCTACAGAACAACAAATTAGCATTAAGTAAAATGTTAAACATTCTACATACCTGAAAGTGTTTGTAGGTACATGTACTCACTTTAATATTATTCCAATTTAAATCAATCAATGATGCATCATCTTCTCGAACTTGTTTGATTGTAGCATCAACGTCTGTATCGTTAGGTGGTTCCATTGGGTAAGGTTTTGGTTGACTAGCTTTTGTAACTCCATCCCAACCTAAACCAACAGGCTGACCAGAATTTAATAAGGAGGCATGATACTGGTCTTGATTCATCATGGAATGGAATCCGAGGATAGCTATGCACAATATAAAAATATATAACATATACAAATCCATATTGTAATGAAAATATTATACTTCCACATATTTTTAATAGCATTACCAGCAAGATCAATAATTTCTTCTTGAGTAGCATTAGATAATGCTTGCTCATATTCTTCTCCAAGATCAATAGCAATTTGTTCGTCTGCTTCTTTTTCTTTTATAGTCTCTTGAGGAGGTGGGATCCACTATAAAAAAGTAATAGAAATATATACATATAACGGTATTACAAAATTTGTATACATTGTTAGCTATTTTAGATTAAATAATACTAACCTTTTTGCCTCTTATTACACCAGGTACATAAGGCTTTAATTCTGGTATATCTGGTGTCTCCAGAGCTTGCTTATTAATGTGTTCAATAAGTTTCTTTCGATTGAGAGGACCTGTTGGACTCTTATCACATTCGTAACTACAACGTTGAGAAGGTGGCATAAAACTGTCCTACAAAGGTAACACCAAAAACTATTAAATACTAAAATAATTTTATAAACATATAAATATACCTATATGTGCACATTACATCAAAAATAAACGAATAACAATTTGCTTACATCAGGATCCACCTCCTTAGCCAATATATTAATTTCTTCTGGAGTAAGCTGTGCCAATAAGTCATCCACATCCACATCATCGTATTCACTCAAATCTTTGCCGTATAATTTCGCTGCGGTTGTCATGGTGGTAGTTTTGGTTGATGCGGACGTCTGGAAAGTTTCCCATGGTTCTTGATCAACTACTGAGTATCTTCGTGACATTTTATTAATTGTAATGTTAATAGATTCAGCGCACAACTAATAGCAATCAACGATTCTCTCTTTAAACTAGTCTATGTTAATCATCTAACACATTTACATTCTAAACCAACACTATACAATATATTTAATCCTTCGATTAATCGAATAGCAGTATAAAATTTCTACAATATGATTAACAACTAATTTCACTCTCCTCTGATTCACCGGAACGGACGCGCGCGAGGTTCACTCAACAATTAGAACTGAAAGTTGCAAAGACAGTGGTATCCGATAACGATCGCAAAGGAAAGAAACCGGGAACGAGTTATGTGTTGTCGAATGCAACGATATCAATGACAAGATATTTCGTTAACGTAAACGTTCATTGCTATGTCCAAGAGTATACGGAGGCAGTGTTTCTGATCGAACGATCAGCAAATCGACAACTTGCATTTAAATTCGGCAACTGTCCAACGCGGCTGATGCCCTTTGCCCCAGATAATTCCGAATTGATTTTCATTGACAACTCATCTGCCAAATAGACAACCCACGCTAATCCTAAGATTCGCGCCTGATTATGGGATATCGCAACCCAAACAAAATTCCAAATTACTTTAAACGAATTGCCTTCAATAAATGTAAGTACCGGTGATAATTTCCAATGCGAAATTAGGTGAATCGCTCGTAATCAAATACCTCACCCACTTCTCACGACAGACGCACACTTCACTGACCAGTTCACCGATTGCGGCTGATTGCGGCAGCGCCCTTTGACGCTTATACCATATTCGAACAAATAATCTACCCAATGGCTTGTTTGCTCCGAATAGCCCCTACTGTTTTTAAACGAAACTTCTAAGCAGGAATTTACCATAGGATATTTTCAACCAGAAAAAAATCTCTAGTAAACTATTATACAAAAATTCAAACTGAAACGGTGGTTTTCATTCAATCATCATTTATTCTATTTGACATCAACTTCGCAAGGTGTTCGCATGAATGAACTATACCAGAAGCTAGCTTATGGAGAAAGTTTCTGCGCGTCTGGCGTCGCGCAGGTATTGACGTTGATATAACATTCATGGCGGTCGTTTCAAAACAGACCCATATAAGTCAATGAATTATCTCATGTTTTAAAAACAGTAAATCAATTTTCTATTTAACATAAACAAACAGAAATCACCTATTATTACGTTCAATATCAATCTTCTATAAAACATACTAATAAAATCGTTCACTCTGACAGGGGGGATTAGACGTTGCAATTTCGAAATTCGAGACGACGCTAAATATCAGGTTCCCAAAAGCGCAAAGATCATGATCAAGTAATCGCTACAAATCTTGACAAGTGTTGCCAGCGGAAATGGGTCTACCGAAAGAACTGAATCTGCCGTGAACCTTTACAGCGATAATTAACTCGATAAATCAATTTTTCTCAAGGTCACGTGCAAGACCGGCAATCAGCGTGGCTCGTAAGCGTAGGCGGGCGAATCTGCAATGGAGGATGGTGGGGATGGTCGCACAGGTCCGATCCCCGTCGCCGGAAAAGACAGCGACCATCTCTGTCGTTCCTCGGTCGTGCAGTTTTGATTAGAGAGTGTCTATCGCGCGTTGTAGCGCTCGTAGCGGCGACAGGCACAAAAATAGCTGAGGCCTCCTCGCAGGCTGGCAAACTCCCAACGGTCTATACTTGGACATCCCCGCGCCATGATTATTTATAGTGAGCGCGAGCGCGGCCACTGGCCTTCTCATGAACTAACTAGCCGCCACCAAAGACGATCCGTCGCCCGTGACCTAGGCCCGCATTAATAACGATTACACCCCTGTGCGCTCAGGAATACGGCAGCTTAATCTCTCACCGTTCCACCGACGAACGCACCCATGTCTTTTTGTTTGATCGCGTGGCCCGTGAATGGTCGCATCTGAAACGCGTCCGAGGACCGTTACATTTTAAACGCAAGGACGCTCGTTTAAACGTTGAACGTGCGAGATTAGGAACGGGAGGATATCAGGCTCTCGCGAGATGTCACTTCGGGTGAAAGTATGGCGAACCGGAAGCGGCGCCATTTTCGATAACGTATGCTACTTTCCTCGCGTCATTTATGCCTCTTTGGAATTGTTTCTGGGGAGTCTCATTGATAGGAATGATTAATGTATTGGTAGGTGTACTAGAGATTGTTTAAGGGTATTCTATTGTATTGATGGATGTACGTGAAAGTTTGAAATTGATGAATTGTAGTTAGGTATATGAATATAACAGGAACTAGGTTTTTAATTAAGTTTTGAATTCGTCAAAAACGTGGGTCTATTATTGATAGTAGCAGAATGTATACAGTTCTTCGATAAATTTGGCATTCAACGAAAGCTGGGTTACAAATCAACGGAATTTGAACTATTTCAAGACCCGCATCCAGGAATGCGAAGATCTTTACAATTACGTTACAGCGTCTGCCAAAACTGATTAACTAGATACAATATCATCTAATAAAATCTACGTTTAATATCTGAAAGTAACGTGTGCACGATTCCGTACATTTCTTTACGAGTTAGGAAGCTTATGCAATCGCCGAAAACGATGCACGGTATCGATGAAAGTATAATTTTTACTTCCTACATGATGCAATGCGAGTCTTCTCACCGTGGATAGTCCTAACTTAAATGGGCGCATTGTTTACTATTCCTAACGATAATTAGGTGGCGATATAACAAACTAGATCTATCGGATTCCCGGGCGGGTGCTCGACAATGGAACTTTCAGTGCTCCAAATAGCCAAGCTCGTGAGAAATCTGTCTTCTAATTAGTTTCTACATCTCCGGCGCGAGTTTGTTCCTGCCTAGCTGAATGAAAATCGCGCGTCTTACTTTCACGGCCATGAAAAAAAGGCGAAGTTGTTTCCCGTCGAGACGTATCGTTCTGGCAATAACTTCACGGCATTTAACAGGCTCGCCGCGTTCGCCGCTTGGTGAATAGTCACGCGGCGGAGGAAAAGTTTATCTGTCCTGCACGAGATTTGAATGCTACGGCTGTCACTGTTTCTAATAATAACGGAAACAACGCCGGCCCCCTTGACGCTCCCGTCCGCGAAGCTGTATTGCGATCCTCTCGAACATTTTGTTCGCCGTGACAGAAACTCCTTGTCTCTCCGAGATAGTAATTTGTTCCTCGAACGCGCGTGTCGGGCTAAATGAATTATTCGATCGAACAGGTTTTAGGTTCCCTTTAATCTCTCACGAATTATCCTTTCAAGTCCCTAAAAAAATCCGTGTAGACAAGCGAATTGCTAGTGTGCGTAGATCTTCTTCGAGACTTATTTAATGGAAGATTCGGGCGTTTCCCTTAACGTCCTGTCGTCGAGACAGCCGATTTGCTTAGACTCGTCGACGAAACGCATTTCGAAACCAGCGCACCCTGTCTGGCAAACTACTTTTCCCACGAGTGCAATGTCTCGAAATTAGGCCGGTTTAAGTATCGGTAATTAAATCTCCGAAGGAAAAGCACGTCAATCGACGCGATCTATCCTGCGTTAGAGGCGCGCTAATGGGCCGTGTGCGCAATTAGGGGCGCGTATTTCCTCAAAAGCGCGCCTAAGAGTCATACAAAGCCGACGTTTCAGTCAGACGGAGCGGAATTTGTGTCGTGCATAAAGGAAGTCGAAAAGAAAGAGCCGAGAGCGGATACCGGCAAATATATTTTGAACCAGCGTCGCAATTGAAAATTATCCTTACTTGCTTTAGAGACTGAAAATATATAATGCTGCTATTTTTGTTCGTGATTACATGAAAAATGATTAATCGTAGATATAAAGGAAGATTGCGTATTAATTGGACAAGATTCTCGTTTAAGAAAGTAAAAATAATGAAATCTTTGAATAATAACAACTGATTGTAAGTAAAGTTTAAGGATTAAGGAATTCAATTTTGAAAGAGTAGAACGTTGAGTATGAACTGTAATAATTGTTCAAGTAATTAGTTGATATTGAATCATTGTGTTTTGAAGAAACTTTAGTTAAGCTAAATTTAGGACACATTTACGAAAATGCATGTCCTACTCTATCATTCTTTTATTAAAGCTGCAGTCATGCAGTCTCATCGACAATCGTCGACCAAACAGTCGGGGCTTGCTTCAGCCAACAAAAAAAGACCTCTAAACCAGAAAAGCTCTGTATTTTTGGGGCTCATTCATTTTTGAGCCTCCCAGACAACACTATTTATTTCAACGTGGCCAATCACGAATGAAATATTACCAGTAAAACATTGTCTCTCAGAAATCCGAGGTTTTTCTTGTCTGGTTGCTGACAGAGAGCACTCCGACGCCTATTCACTGCGACGAGTTCGACCGTCGTTTACAAACGTCTACAAAACATTATCGATACGGAAGAATAAATTTTCTCGTGTGACGAATCAAAAAGTTTGCATTACATATTAATCTTCCTATACATCTATTAACCCTTTGAGTGCCAAAGAGATATTCATTGCGAAAAGATTCCTTTTGATTTTATTAATAATAAAGGGAGTATAACATGTTTTAGTATTGTGTCAAAATGTTATGTACTTTAGATGAAAATTGATCGTAGTATAAATTTTTCTTTATAATCATTCATCTTTGTCTTCCCATGGCACTCGAAGGGTTAAATCATCAAAGAAAATTTCCATAAAATCATCGTCCTGCAAACTCGGAAAACTTCGGATGCAAGGTTGTGTAAAGCACGAGGGACGTATCTCGGACAGGTACACTTAATTAACTGAACTTATCGAAGAGTAAGTCGATAAACGAACCAAGGGGAATCGAGCCAAAGACCTTCTATGGTCAGACAGGTAGTTACGAAACCTGAACTCTCGAGGATTCCAAAGCTAGAGAAGGTGCAGCAGTTCTTGCACTTTCAGATAAACATGGATGAGGTAAGAGCTGATTTCTACTCGCTATTCAGCGGAGATCCTCTCGTGCGTTATTTAGGCGTCTTATTGGAGAT